CCAGCAAGGGAGCTCAACAGCGTCAGGAAACTGGGCACGCCAGGCGTCAGTCAGACGACCGAAGCAGCGCTGCGCAGTGTGTGGCAGCCCGCACGTCTCCCCACGACGCCCGCCGGTGCGAAGAACGTAAGTGCAGGGACCAGCACCCCCAGACCTCCCACGCCCAGCGTACCACTCACGAAGCTGCTGGGCCGACGGGGTCTCACGGGAACGCGGCAGCTGCTGGCGCTGGCTACCACCAAAGCCTCCACGCCGCGCGGCTGCACCTCGACCAGCACCACCACCGCCGCCACCTCCACCACCACTGCCAGTGCCTCCACCACCGCTGCCGCTGCCTCCACCACCCCCACTGCCGCCACCGAAGCTTCCACTCCCGCCACCACCCCCACCTCCACCGCCACCCCCTCCGCCTCCTCCACCGCCTCCACCGCCGCCCCCACCGTCCCCTCCACCACCCTTGCCCCCCTTGCCCTTGCTGTTGCGGTGCCTCCCACTAGGAGCAGACGCAGCCCCGACCTCCTCAGTGCCAACGAGGTCGACCGCAGCAGCAGAAGCAACAGAGGGGAGAAGGGGGACAGGGGAACACCCCTCAAATAAAGGGGTGCGACGGTCGCCGCGAGAAGCACCTACAGCTAAGATACTCTTCTCAGCCGCAGTGAGGCGCTCCTCTAGCAGGTCGACAGTGAGCTCGGTGGGGCAAAGGGAGAGAAAGTGGTCCCTGACTGACGCAAGTGAGTCAGGGAGGCGAGTGACTAGGTAGTACAGGGTGATGTACATGGGGGGGGGGGTTCTTGGCACAGAACTCAGTGGGAAGCGCAGCGCGGTAGCAGGTGTCATTAGTGCGGAGGTGGGTAATGAGGTCAGCGACTGTGGCAAAGGCGGCAAGGTCAGGGAAAAGGTACGGCAACATGAGGCGGCTGAGGGCAGCAGTGGCAGGGGAGGAGTTGTCAGAATGTTATGTTTGTCTAACCTGCAGTGGGGTACTCAATAGTGAGTACAGCCCAATCTAGGGTTTGCTATATGTACTCAACTGCTTGCTAGTGCAACTCTCTTCTCTGTTTCATTTCATTCTCTCACATTCTAACATGGTATCTGAGCAGGTCGACCCTCCTGGGTCGATTCTGTTGATGGGCCCACCAAAACTTCCGCTGTCCTCACTGCCTATCGCGCGCCTCGGGCGCGAGCTATCTTTCTGCCTGCCGCGCGCCCATGGCGCGCGGCCTTTTTTCTTCCCGCGGCGCGCTAGGGGCGCGCGGCGGTTTTCTGCCCGTCGCGTCGCCCTGGGGCGGCGTGATGCCCTGATCTGCCCGTCGTGCGCCCCGTGGCGCGCGACGGTGCCCTGCCCGTCGTGCGCCCCGTGGCGCGCGACGGTGCCCTGCCCGTCGCACGCCCCGGGGCGCACGGCGGTCTCGTCGCCCCGGGGGGGCTCGTGCGCGGCCCCCTCGTCGCCCGTCGTGGCGCCCTCGGGGGCCCGCGCGGCCCCCCCTTCCGTCGCCCGGCGTGGCGCCCTTGGGGGCCCGCGCGCGACCCCCTCCCGTCGCCCGTCAAGGCGCCTTCGAGGGCCCGCGCGCGGCCCCCTCCTGACGCCCGCAGTGGCGCCCTCGGGGGCCCGCGCGGCCCCCATCCCTGTCGCCCGTCGTGGCGCCATTGGGGGCCAGCGCGCGGTCCCCCTCTCGTGACGCCTATCGTGGCGCCCTCGGGGCCAGCGCGCGGCCCCCCCACTCGTGCCGTCGCCCGCTGTGGCGCCCTTGGGGGCCCGCGCTACCCCTTCTGCAGCCCGCGCTGCCCCTTCTGCAGCCCGCGTGCCGCCTCCTGTCCCCTCCTCCTCCTCCATCTCCGACTGCTGCAGCTGCCGCTGAGGGGGGTGTGTCGTGGGAGACTACGGGTTGATACTATGGGGGTGTGTCGTGGGAGTGATACTAGGGGTGCAGCGGGGGGTGTGTGAAAGGGGGGGTGAGACAATTAGAGGGAGGTTGGGTGGAGGTAGCCGTCGTGTCGTCAGCAGCGCCAGTAGTCCGGAGGTGCGCCTCCGGTAGCCCAGCGAGCCTGCTGCGCCAGTCGCCCGTGGGTCCGTTGCTCCTGCCGCTCGTCTTAGCCGCGGAGCCAGTTACTCCTGTAGTCCGGAGGTGTGCTTCCGGTAGCCACAGTGCGCGCCGCTCCTGTTGCCCGTGTGTCTGCAGCTTCAGCCGTTGCCTCCTCTCTCCTTCCCTATCAGTCCAGCTCCTCCTCACTTGCCCTCTGTGATAGCCTCTAGCTTTGCTTATTGCTGTGAACTATAAACTGTTGCTTCTTGTACTTTTTCTCAGAATGTGTGGTGACATTGTGATCCACCCTGAGCTTGTTTTTGCTTGCTTGTTGTGCTGATTACACCCCACTTTGGCTATGGGGGTGTGTCAGAATGTTATGTTTGTCTAGCCTGCAGTGGGGTACTCAATAGTGAGTACAGCCCAATCTAGGGTTTGCTATATGTACTCAACTGCTTGCTAGTGCAACTCTCTTCTCTGTTTCATTCCATTCTCTCACATTCTAACAGGAGTAGCGCGCTACGACAGCGTCGTACAAAGACTTAGCAGTCTTGTACTGGCCAAAATGCGCGCGCTCAGCAGACGGCAGGTGACTACGAACAGCAAGGCGAGCAACAGCGTCATGAGTGGTCCACTGCGAGCGAACCGTACTGTCAGCAGTGGCAGCAGGTGCAGTAGAGACACCGGACGTGTGATCGAACAGGGATACCCCATCCTTAGAGTCACACTGAAGAAAAAGCTGTAGGTCGTCAACCCACACGTCAAAGTCAACTGCACGCCCCTCAGCATCAAAGGTGAGAACAGTAGGGCTAGCCATAGCAGCAGTAGCAGCAGTAGCAGCAGGAGCAGTACAAGCAGTAGGGCCGCTCGGCTCGGCAGTGCGGCGCGGCTCGGCTGGGTGGCGCGGCTCGGTGGGGCAGCGCGGCTCGGCTGGGTGGCGCGGCTCGGCAGGGCGGCGCGGCTCGGTTCCTGCCGGCGCGGCGCGGCAGGGCAGCGCGGGTGCTTACCAGGGGCGGTTGCAGGGCAGGGCCGCAGCTGGCGGTTTAGGACAGGGCCGCGACCGGGGCAGCAGCAGGGCAGGGCCGCGACAAGGCGGCTGCAGGGCAGAGGCCGCAACGGGCGGCGAAGGCAGGGCCGCTACTGGGGCGGCAGCAGGACAGGGCCGCGACAGGGGGCGGCTGCAGGGCAGGGCTGCGACAGGCGGTGAACGGGCCGACGACGGGCGGCTGCAGGGCAGAGGCCGCGACTGGGCGGCTGCAGGGCAGAGGCCGCGACGGGCGGCGAACGGGCCGACGACGGGCAGCGAACGGGCCGCGACGGGCGGCCACCGGGCCGACGACGGGCGGCAAAGGGGCCGGGACGGGCCGGCGACAGGCCGGGACAGGCCGGGACGGGCCGAGACGGGCCGGGACGGGCCGGGTCGAGCCGAGACGGGCCGGGACAGGCCGGGACGGGCCAGCGACGGGCGAGCGCGGGGCCGTAGTGGGCGGCTAAGGCAGGGCCGTGACACGTGGCGAAGGGCCAGCGACGGGCAGCTACGAGCCGGGACGGGCCGGCTGAGGCAGGGCCGCGACGGGCCAGCTAGAGAAGGGCGCGCGACGGCGCAGGTAAGGCAGGCGCGAGGCGCGCTTCGGGCAGGGCAGGAAAAAAAAATGTTCGTGGTGGGCCCTAAAAAAAAACGTTCCCACGAGGGAACCTGCTCAGAATACCATGTTAGAATATGGAACGAATGAATGACTGAACTAGCAAGCAGGTGGGTACAAGTAGGAAACCTAAAAGTGTTGTACCCTATATGAACTACCCCACTACAGCCTAGATAGACTATAGCATATAAGTTTGACACGGGCACGACTCGCTCCAGAACCGACCCAGGTGAGCACTCCATACGAGAAGGTCTGGCCCAACATCAGGTCGGTGGAGGAGCTTGGGCCCAGTTCTGTTGCTCAGCGGCAAGTGGAGGGCGGACGGCATAGCACAGCACCACTGGTGCGGCTGAGTGCTTGCGCGAAGCCAGGAACCCCCACGGTGGTGCGATAATTTTTGTTAAGTTTTGGCTTTTTTGCCATTCCGCTCCTTGCAATGTAATGTTTAAATTACGACCTTTTAATAAAACCTTAGAACCCAGGATGGTGCGATACAACTTCCTGCCACCCTACGCGCAACTGTGGGGAGTTCGTAAAAAAAAAAATCTTTGGAGACCGTTAAAATGTTTTTCGCGATGAGAATTGGATGGCCTGGAGCAATAGAGCCAACCAATACCAAAAATATTTCTCTTCACCAATGGGGCACTGCCCTCCCCCGAAACGTGTTTTTTTTCGGGGCATTTGTCCCTGCCCGGAACTACTTGTGTTATCCCTGGGTCCGCGCTTCGAGCAAGAACCAGTCTCGCACCCAGTTTGCCTGGGAGGAGGGGACAGCACAGCACTACTGGTTCAGAGTTCTTTTGTGCTAGGTGGGCCGCACAGCCAGCACAGCACTGGCCAGGTTCGGGATAGAGTTCAAGGTCCCGAGCCTGATTTAAGGAATGCGCTCTTGGTTTGGAATCTTCGAGGATCACCGGGAGAGGCCCTCACGAAGCATCATCTAGTGCTGTGCGGAGGGGTCCGCACCAGTAGTGCGGCAACAGAACTGGGCCTTGGTTGGTGGTGGTGGCACCTCTCCTTGTTCCCTCCCACCTACATTCACTCAGGCTACATTACACCGTCAAGCTTATTACAAACCACCATGTGGTGGCTCCAGTACTTACTCCTGTACTTCTATATGTTTTCCTCTCGATAGTAGAACTCCTTACGTACTGTATTGCTGCGCTTCGAGCGGCTCATTAATCTCGTAACCCTCGCTCAACATACGAGCCAGATTCCGTACTCCGACATTAATGCCATTACCTGTTACTAAACGTCGCAGGCGGTTTTAGAGACTTCCAAACAGCTATTCCCAACCAATACCCTTATTTAATCGTCCACAAGCCAAGCTACGATGGGCCGTCATGTCTGTCGGCGATTATTCTCTTTACATCACTTGCTAGTCGCGCTCGTCCTCGTCTCGCTCCTCGTCGCCCTGCTGCCCTCCTCGCACGCGCAGCAGCCGGGCATATCGACGAAGATGGCGAGGGAGATTCAGCAGGCCAAGAAGCAGCTCAAGAAGATGAGGATATTCGGACCCATCACCGATGTGATTGACCTATTACGTACGTTCCGTGGCGGGATGAAGGGTGTGGCAGGGGTGTTCTAGCTTTTCCTCGAAACCGCAATTAGGGTTCGGTGTGCCTGGCCGGGAGATTCGTAAGCAGAAATGCAGCTCTCCTTCGGGAATTGACATACGATTAGGGTTGGTGTCGCTGGGTCGGAGGCAGGAATGCGCGCTCGTTGCGTCCGCCACGTCGGCCGCAGCGGCAGCATTGACGGCGTGCGGTTCGCCGTGCAGAGCGCCGTTCAGGCCGCCGTCATGGATGCGCAAATCGCTCTACGAATCTCAGTTTCGTCGTTTCCGTTCCTCATCTCTCAGTCTTCCCCTCGAAGTCTTTCACCCTACAACAGGAAATTCAGCAAAAGGATAAAAATAATCCCGAGCCTTTCCAGGCAGCCACCGCGGTCGCCGAAAGCACTTCTCTTGCTCCGCTACGGTCCGCCTTCGCCTTAGCTGTCGCAGCAACCACGTGCCCCTTTACGTTCGAGCTTCGTTCTCGCCATTGAGCTAATCATTGGGACATTTTCTCCCCTCCCCCTCTGCAACTCTCCTCCTCTTCCCACCTCCCTCTTCCTCTCTTCACCTCCCCTCTCCTCTCCCCTCCCCCCACCCCCCCCCTCTCCCCTCCCTCCCCCACTCTTGCTCCCGCGCAGAGGCGTCTGTCAACCCGCTGAATGGGTTGATCATTCTGCTGACCCGCGTCCGCCTTCACCGTCACAGCAACTACAACCGCGAGCGCCTGTGCAGGCGACCCTTTCTCTCGCCGTTCAAGCTCTCTCTTGGGCCTCCTCCTCTCTTTCATTCTCCTCCTCTTCCCTCCACCCCCCTTCTCTCCCCTCCACTACCCTCCTCTCCCTTCCATTCCCCTCCTCTCCCTTCCATTCCCCTCCTCTCCCCTCCACTCCACTCCTCTCCCTTCCACTCGTCTCCTCTAATCTCCACTCACCACCTCTCCCCTCCATTCCCTTCCTCTGCTCGTCCCTCTCCTCCCTCCACTCATCCTTCCCTCTCCCACCTTTCCCCTCTCTTCCCCCCTCTACTCCGGCCCCTTTTCTCCCCCACCGCCCCTATTTTCGCAGTGACGTCTCTCATCCCCGCTGCCAGTGAACGGCTCCGGGTCCCCCTTCACTGTTACAGCAACTTATCCTCCCCCTCCATCCCCCCGCTGTCCCCCTCCACTCCCCCTTCCCCTCCCTTTCCACTCCCATTTCTCCCCTCCTCTCCCCCTCCCCCCCTTGCTATCTCGCAGTGACGTCGCTCATCCCGCTGAACGGGGTGACCATCCTGCTGCCGCTGCACGCGCGCACCATCCGCTTCTTCATGGCCGCCTTCTCCTCGCAGAAGCAGCAGCAGCTCATCGCCTACCACATCCTGCAAGGCCGCTACGACTTCCGCCGCCTGCGTTACCAGCCGCGCGGGCGGCGGCTGAGAACACTGGAGGGCACGAGCCTGGTGAAGCGCGGGCGCAAGGGCGGGCTGCTGGTGGCCGTCAAGGGCAAGGGCGGAGCGCCGGTGCCGATTGTGATGCCGAATCTGTTCAACGGGTCGCAGTTCACCATCCATGCCGTGTCCGAGATGGTCGTGCCGCATGACATTTATTGACACTGGTGCAGAATTGTAGGCATCTGTTGGGGATGTAGAATTGCAGGCATTTGTTGAGTTGGGTGTTGCTGTCAAAATATATTTCATGTATAACTGCATGTAGTTCCAGCTGTATTCAGGGTCATCCCTAGGTTTTGAGCCTGCCTGATGCATCAGATGGCGTGGTTTTTTCTGTCGGATGCATCAGAACTTCCTTCAAAACATTTATGTTGAATCAGGAAATTTTAATATTCAATTTCTGATTGATTTTTCTAGAGCCCTCCTGATTTCAGTGTTCTGTACCTTACGAAGGAATTGCAAAGAACGCGCGATTTTGGGACTCCCACTTGGATGCTCACCATGGTGAAGCCGCTCGCAGCTAACTGTTGGGCTGAGAAAAGCCCTTAGGATCTTTGCAGGACTAAATTCTGAGTAGGACAATGTAATGTCAAACATTAATCACATAGCCTGTGTAGGCTGTAGTGGGGTAGACACTATGGGGTACAGTTTCCTAGGATTTCATATTTGTACCCAACTAATTTCCTAGTCAATCATTCTCATTTCTCTTCACATGGTATAGAGCGGGTTCCCTAGTGGGACCGTTCCTTCCTAAGGGCAGGGCTGACGTTTCATTTTAAGCCTCCCTGATTCCGGGGAAATTTTTCCCCCTCTATTATGGGTGCACATTTTCCAGAAAAGCAGTACCGTATGGCCCCGGATATAGGCGCCGTCCGATTAAAGGCGCCGGCGCCTCTATCTGGAGCATGGCGCTTATGGCCGTTCCTCGATTATAAGCGCATACCATTTTGTACCCGTACTTATTATAAGCGCCTACTTTAATACATTTCTTTTTTTCAATTTAAGAAACTAACTACTAACATCACAAAAATTTTCATTATAAGTCTAGCACCAACAATTACATCCATCTACGATACTTCTAAATCAATGAACAGACCTTTATACAAGCCTTCCCACCAATGAACCAACTACCGTTCCTACTCCTCCTCGTCAGACTCAGGCTCCTGGCAGTTGTTGCCAAAGAAGCCATTAGCGATGATGTCGTCGTCGACATCCACTTCCGCGGTCAGCTGGGTCCGCCTGTGAGCCATCGCGAGGCCGTCCTCGCTGCCGTCAAGCGCGTTGCTAATGCCACAAGTGAGGAAGGCGCGCTTGATGAGGTCGGCGGGCACGGCCTTCCATGCCCGAGAGACCCATCGCAGGACCACTGCTGGGGGGGGCTTCTTGAGATTCCCTGCACGAACAATAACACCACGGACAGAGTTAGCGTTGCAAAGGGGAGGAGGAGTGGATAAACAAGCATATGCATCTACCGTAGCTTACAACGTACCTGCTGCTGTCAGCTGCTCCTGCCCCTCTTCTTGAAACCACTTTTGATACTGCTGGCGGATTGAAGCTTTGAAGCTTTTGTTGATAGAGACATCGAGGGGCTGCACCTCCGCCGTGCACCCAGACGGGATGACCGCCGGCACGCAGTTGAGCTCGCGGAACTTCTCCTTCACCCCCTCGGTGAGGTGACCACGGTAGCTGTCCAGCACCAGCATGGAGCTCTTCGCACACCTGCCGAACCGGGGCTTCAAGAAAGGCTTGACACACTCCTCAAGCCATCGGATGACGCCCTCCGCATCCATCCACCCGTTCTCGTGGCACGCCACGACCACATCTGCACAGGCGTAGAAGAACAAGATGTCAGTCGATTAAAGAGAAGATACAGAACACGACACAGAATATAAACCATGACTTACCCGCCGGGAAATCGCCCTTCGGCACGGTCTTCCGCTTGAAAAACACCCAGGGCTTGAGCTTCACCCCGTCCGCCGTGCACGCGAGCATCACGGTAACTCTCTCCTTCTGGTACCCCGCACTTCTGATCGGCACCGACCGAACGCCGGTTTGGTCCACGGTGGTGGTCGCGGGCATCTCCAGCCAGAGCGGCGTCTGGTCCGCGTTGATGATCCACGCGGTGTCGATGCCGCGCTCACGGCGCTTTTCACGAACAAAGCGCCAGAAGTTCCTGCACTGCTCCGCGACATCTGTGACAAGGCAGACCATGGGGCGACACAACATGAACGTGTTAGTAACAATAAACGGCGCAGTACAAAAAATCTTAAAAATACACGACATCTTACGGGCCGCGGTTTTCTGTGCCACCCGCGTCTTCATGCGCACGCTGAGATTCCATCGGCGCCGAAAGCGCTCAGACCACCGTTGGCTCCCCTTCCACTTCTCGGTTGGGAAGAGTTCCTTCATGAATTCACGAGACCATTCCTGCAGGCGGCCGACGGATACAGCGGTTCCTTTGCGACGCCACTCGAGGAGCCTCTCGTAGACCTTCAGCTCCATCGGCCGGTACCACGACGCTCGCCCTCGACCATGCATGCGCTTACGGGCAGAGTGTACCTCTTTGAGGAAGTCCGCAGAGCGCTTCCAGTTAGAGAGACATTTGCGATGGATGCCGCTCTCGCGAGCCAACGAGCGCACCGAGACTGCAACATCAAGCAGCGCGACCCACTTCAACTTCTCGGCGGCGGTGTAGGCCTGTCGCTTGTGCTCGTTCATCTTGTGCCTGGGAGAGGGGGGGCAGGCATCACGGTTCTGTGAAGCAGGGTGTGGTCGCTTGCGATTAAGCGGAGGAAAAGAGGGTATCGGGAGCTTCTCTGGAAGCCCGTCGCGTGACCAATACTCGACGCCGTCGTCATCGTCGCCGCCCGGAGCACCCTCGGGAAACACATCCTCAGCGGTGCCGGCCTCGGTGCCACCCTCCGTGCCACCCTCGCCGCCGGTGTTGCGCTCAGCGTGCCACTCCTCTTCGGCGTCAGCCACCTCGTCGTCTGCGCCGATAGCAGATTCATCCCAGTTGCAGTCATCGGGCTGTCCCCATCGTGGTGCCGGGGCCGGAGCTGCTACATACTCATCTTGGCGCTTGTCGCTGTCCGGTTCAGAGAGGTACTCATCGAACGCCGAAGGGAGAAGGAGCGTGAGCACGGGCTGATTGCCCGTGAACACAGGATGCACGGGATATGCAGGAGACGGAGGAACGGGAGGAGCAGGAGGAGCAGGAGGCGCAGGAGGCGCAGGAGGAGCAGGCGGCGCAGGAGGCGCAGGAGGTTGTGGTGGCTCTGGTGGGATACGGGAATACCACCCGTCAGCGTCAACTCTAAACGCGGGCCTAGCAGAAGGCTTCTTCTTAAACAAGAAATGGGTGCCGGTGAATTCCGCCATGGCTTCCGCAGCCTGGCGGGAAAGAACGAGAAACTGAATGAAAAACTGGATGAAAGATGCAAGAAATGAAAGAATGAAGGGGACCCCTTCGGCATGGCGCCTCGGGGTCCTCGTCAATGAACGAGGGTTGCCCCTCTGCCTGAACCCGCAGAGGAGGGTTCATGGAACCATCCATGCTGCGCTGGCAGGGCATCTTCTACCCCCTTTCTAGAGGGTTCGGCCGAGATGCTCCTGCCTGGCAGCGCATGACGACGTCATTGGGCCGCACGACAGGTTACGCGTCAGCGCTGGCAGGTGCGTTGCTCCTAGACAGGTTTTGTGTGGTGGGAATTCGAATCGCGGCAAGTTTCGCCGTGATTTTCTTGCACGATCCCATGCGCACGTCACATCATTGTATTCGCCTTATTGAGAGCTTCAATTTGGTTCATTTGAATTCGAAAATCATTTTTGCCGTTATAAAAGCGCCGGCGCTTATGGCCGTTCCTCAATTACTAGCGCCACCCCTAAAAAAAACGATTTTATTATAAGCGCATATGCGCTACTATCCGGGGCCATACGGTACCCTGATTGCTCAGGGTTGTAAAGTAGTTAACACTGATTGTTCAGGGCCGAGAACTGAACATCAGAGTAGTAACGCGCGCTTTGTTACCGAGGAAAATATCCCCACTCTCCATAAAGTCTGCGCGCTGTGTTTCCTGCTGGCTGTACACTCGACTGATTTGTGCAGGGCGGGTGTGATTGACCTATCTGGTGTGCGAGTGTAACGTTTCCCTGTCTTATTACCATGCCCAATTGGATCTCTTCAGCTGGCATGCATCAGACACGCTGCGACTGTAGTTAGTCACCCTCAGAGGCGTTCCTTCTGGAGCGAGTGTACCGATCGAACGGGCGAGTCACACATGTTCGAGTCACAAATTTCCGCTGTCAGAGCCTATTTCGACCAATCCCAGCAAAGTATATCTGACATTGCAGATTCACGCGATCTCGATGGTAGGTGTATCAGAACGAAGTTTCGAAGAAACTTCGTCTCGATAAAGCGGGAAGGGGGGGGATTACGCACATGTGGGGGGATCACTGCGATCAATCCAAGGCGGGGTCATCGGAAGGAAACTTCCGAGAAACTTCCTCTCGATAAGTCAGGGTCCACACAGTCGATACTCTGTTCAGTCAGGGTCCACTAACAGCCTAGTCTGTTACACTGTACTCAAAATCAGGGATAGCTAAACTATTACTCTGATTGGATCAAGGCTGGAAATTCAATAACTCTGAAATTTCAGTCTCCACGAAATGGAAAGCCTGAAATCACCCTGAAATCAGGGTAATTACCCTGATAAAATCAGCCCTGCCTAAGGGCCCACCGTTATTTTTTTTTTTCCTAACTGCCCGAAGCGCGCTTCGCGCTCTGCCCTGCCCTCGATTTTCGCGGCCCCTTAGCGGCCTGTCCTGCCCTACGCGGCCCCTTTGCGGCCCATTAGCGGCCCCCTTCGAGGCCCCGTTGCGACCCCGCCCCGGCCCTGCCCCGTCGCCCGAAGCCGCCCCGTCGTGGCCCTATCGCGGCGCGGCCCCGGCCCTGCCCCGTCGCCCGTTGCGACCTCGTCGCGGCCCCGCCCTGGCCCTGCCCCGTCGCTCGTCGCGGTCCTGTCGCGGCCCGACCCCGGCCCTGCCCCGGCCCTGCCCCGGCTCTCCCCTGGCCCCGTCGCGGCCCTGTCCCGGACCTGTCGCGGCCCTGCCCCGGCCCTGCCCCGACCCTGTCGCGGCCCTGTCCCGGACCTGTCGCGGCC